TGTCCCCCAGTGGGCTGTAATCCCTGACCCGGCTGCCACTGCTGTACCAGAGGAGAAATTTGTAGACTATGATAAAGAGATCACCCCCTTTTTTGTGGAGTCCCAACCTCAGATGCCTGAACAGACAGTGGCCACAGTTCAACCTGAGACCAGCTCGGACACAACTTATTCAGTCATGACCAGCACTATAAACATTACAGGTACATGAACTCTGTTGTTGTTGGTTTGGTTCATAGCTGCTTCAGTTGGTTTAAACAGCACAGCAGCTTGGTTTGGTTCCCCTGCTTAACATTTTTGCCAGTTACTTGAGTCAGCAGCTATAATGTTTGAGCTGGGCCCTCTCTCAGCCTTCTGCCTTAGTTAAAAGGGATAGAACATGCTTTTTCAATGATAATACCCACTTGTGCTATCAAAAGTCTGTAATACACTTTCAAAGTTCCCAAATACAAGGTTTTCCCTTTGCACATCAAGTATTAAATAGACAGCTTAACAGCTGTTCACAAAAAATTATTACATAGTTTCCACCTTCATAACAACTCACCCATTGTTAACCCACCCTCATGGATTTGTAAACCTTTAGGGGCATGATGATTTCAGTCGGATGTGAGGTAGCTAGCAGGTGTCTGGTAGGCCTGACCTAGCAGTTTTAATGAAATTATACGACAAATAATGTACTGTCAGATCCGTGAGCTGACCTTACTGTCCTTAGCTGACATGTTAGTCCACCTGCTTGTTCAAATGCGGTTACTTCATGGCTCCAAAAAACGAACATTTTGGCATTGTGTGATGTTTTTCAAACCAGAAGTGACCAAATCCAGCTTAAAAATGCAGAGTCTTGAACCCAAGACATTCAATTTAGTTGTATTTATCCATCCATTCTCTTGTGCTTATCTTTGTCAGGGTCGCGGGGTGGCTGGAGCCTATCCCAGCTCTCTTAGGGCAAGAGGCAGGGTACACACTGGACAGGTTGCCAGTCTGTCGCAGGGCTAAGCAGCATTTAGCATTTAGCTTCCAGGTTTGCCTATGTGATTTGTAGCAACAGTGTATTTAAGTTGTCCCTTGTTGGCCTCGCTTTTCTAGAAGATGGAGAGGTTCTACAAATATATGCATAAAAAATTCACAGTAGGATAAAAGCCTGTCCTGTTTGCAATTGAAGGTTCCTTGTAAACATTTGTGCAGACATTGAATTTTCTGGTATACTTTAATATGAGCAGGTCAGCCCACCAACAAACCGAGTGTCTATTACCACAAACATGGACAGCCCTGCTGTGCCATTAAGGGGCTTTAAAGCCTTTCTGAACTGCAGTACGTTTCACCGCTCTTAATGATGTTGATGATTTTAGTCGTTTTCCATTCTCATTGTCTCCTTGGCAGATCTCCTGCCATGCTCAACCAATGTGTGTCAGAACGGAGGCTCGTGCTACAAGAAGGGACCACAAAATGTCTGCATCTGTGCACCTGGATACACCGGGTGGCACTGTGAAACAGGTACAGAGAGCCTCAGAGCCAGGTGTGCTCTTTTAACAAGCCATCCTGACCCTTCCTGACAGGTGGATGTATAATAATGCTGGTCTGTGTTGCATGTCTGAAGATATTGATGAGTGCCAGTCTAACCCGTGTCTGAATGGAGCCACTTGCCTGGATGGGATCAACTCCTTCACCTGTCTCTGCCTCCCGAGCTACAAAGGAGAGTTCTGTGAACAAGGTCAGGAAACAGAATTAATAAGCAACTGTGTCGAAATCATTCATCTATGGAAATCAGTTCTCAGATATATGTTCTGACCACCATTCTTTTCAAGTAAGTCTGAAATTACTGCAGAGTTTGGGTCTTTGGGCCATCATTCAGCTTTGGGCGTTGGCTCTTCAACAGATGAGTTCCAGCCGTAGGACTAATATTTCTGCCGTTACTCAGCAGATAATCAAAACTCAGGCGCACAAGAGGACTCCGAGGATTAATATTTTCCAAACAAGGAAACAGTTCTCAGCAGCAACAGTTTTTTTTTCTGCTGCTCTGAGCGAAATGTTTGGTTTCAGAATGAGGCCCCATAGTTTTTCTTTTGTATCATGTAGTCATGATAAGAAGCCATTTAACTAAATTCTGCTTTTATTTGCTTGCTTAAATTATTTTACTCAGTCTATTAATGGTTTGGAGTCATACATTATACACTACTTAATGTATTCATATGCAGTCATTGTAGAATAAAAGTACAACAACTGGATCTGTCAATTATGAGGTTTTAAAGGATATTTAAAAAGTTATTTGGTCCTTTGCAAGTCTTGAAATGAGTTAAATACAACCACAGATGAACAAGAACAAATGACATATTATGTGCTATTATTTATTTAACAAAAATGTGGCGGAGGTGTAGTGTGGTGTGCCACTCCACTTGCTAGTTCAGTGACACTGGGACCTGGAGAAGGGTGTGTGCCAAGCAGAAGATGCGACAGCTGTAAAGTTTCCGCCACGAAAAGCAAAACCACAAAAGTGTATTTGTTGTGGGGTCTTCCAGTCACAAAAAGCTAAGCCAAAATGCAGAAGAAGTTGTAGATTTGCTTCTGTGCTTGGGATCGCTGTCCTGTTGATGACCCAGTTACATCCAGGCTTTAGCTGTCAGCCGGTGGCCTTACATTTGACTCTAGAACACTTTGGTTTACAGACGAGTTCATGGTCTGAGGTGTTTAGGCTGTTTGGTTTACTCCAAACATGCTGCTGTTATTATGGTCAAACATCTCCATTTTGGTTTTGTTGTTCAAATTTAGCTCTGCAAAGCTAAGCCATGCCAACATCTTCTTTGGGGAGAGAAGAGGCTTTCTTCCAAACATCCTTTGTGCTTAATATTGTGGTACCTACACTCCTGAGGAAATTTGCATTTTGTTCTGCTTATCCAAGTCAGCATTGTTGGGGTCTTGTGGAAAAAATAGAAACATTGGTGCTATAAGAATTCCTAGTTTGCAGGGCGTATCTATTTGAATGATGAATACAGTGTGTAAAACTAGACACTCAGACATAAATTATGGACTGTTTACTGCTTATATTTCCTACCTAATATATGCAAGAGTTCAAAAATCAGAGACACAGCTGTCCTCTTGCAGCTTTTTGCCAATGGAAAGAATGAGGGAAGAAAGATAATTGCCCTCTATTTTTCCAGAAAGCTTTTGCAGCTGTGTGTGGAATTGAATCAATACTGACAATACTGCTTCAGTTTTTTCAGGCTGGGCTTAATATCCTGGGTGATGCTGAGTGATGCTATGTTTCATACTCAACTGACCACACTGCTAATTTCAAACTGGCAGACAGAGAGCTGTGGCTTATAGTGCTGCATTCATTAGAGACCTCACCTTTCATTCCAGGTAGCTGCACAGAGGCAGGATTAAAATGAGGTCAGTTGATGATGGCTACTACCTTAAAAGACTCGACAGATACTGTCCATCATGACTTTACTGGCATGTATAATTCTGGTGCCACTGATACAAAACAGCCATTGTTTGTATGGTCAGACAAAGCAAAGGGCTGATTATGTGACTTGTATATGAAGTTGAATGTGTGTTATACATGAGCTCTTTGTGTGTGTCTCTGTGTGCTTGACCTGCAGACAACTGGATGTTTGTGAGACTTAATGAAGTCCAACTGTGTGTTGCTGAGCTCATTCAGTGAGGGGCTTTCACTCCCCAGCTGGACCTCAGCTCTCTCTGTGCCTCTCTTTCTCTCTCACCGTCTCTGGCCAGAGCACAGAAATAAAATTCCGAGCTGTTGTGTTGCTGTTAGCTTCACTGTTACAACAGCATGTTTCCAAAACAACATGTAACTTCATCAACAAATGAAAATCTGATTCCAGATTATGAAGTGTACTAGAAGGCAGTGATAGGCAACCAGGGAAATGTAGTATAGCTACTTTTAGACAGGAGTTCGATTAGCTACACATTAACACCTAAGGAGTGGGTAAAATGTGGTTACGAAGCAGCAAAGTCTAAACATTTTCTTGAACATACCACGTGAAGTTTGAAAAAAGGCACTTATTCATAGTAAGAGATATTGTGTCTTACAGTCTGTTTAGTAGAAACCGCATACTAATGCTGGTTGAAGCTTCCCCATATGGAAAAGAAATAGTAAAAACTTATATGATTTACTCATGAAAGTGGCCACTTTCTCATTACTTTCATATATTGTTTTAGTAAGTATCCAAAACATACAAGTTTCATTATATAATTTTTCAAGGGATCTTATGTCTGTTTTCACTTTTGTATGCTTTTCATACAACTCTTTGAAATCAGTCCTGTCTCCATGCTCAATTTGTCTGTTTCCCGGTTATGCCTCTGTGTGTAGTCCATGTCTGTTATGTATTTTAAGTTCTATCCCTTGTTCGGTGTCTCCATAGTCTCGCCTCCGTCTCCATGTTTATTTGCTTCTTTCCCAGTGGTGCCTCTGTCTCTTTCTCCCTCTGTTCCTTGTATTTAGTCAGTCTGCATCTCAGTGTGTTTCTCATACTTCCTGTTTTACTTTGATAGTCTTCTGTCCTGTTTTTAGCATGTTCTGTTTTGGTTCCCTGTCTCGTTAGTTAGACTATGTTCAGCTCGATCCCCACCTGTGGTCTGTTCCCTTGTTTGCCTCTGCTCATTGTCATGATCTCTCTCAGTTTTGTGTGTTCTGCCACTATGTTTGTTTAGTTTCTGCGGTTTTTATTTTCATAGTCAAATTAGTGCTGCTGTCCTGCTGTATCAGAACCTGTGTAGTATCAGGTCCATAGACCATACTGTATAAACACTGATTTACACCTGTGGTCTTTCTAATGGTGATGTCTGCAAGAGCAAAAAGGTTGGTTCTGTCACGATCCTGGGTCTCTGACCCAGCGTTTTCAGTTTACGTTTTGAGTTCTTAAGTTATTAGTTTATTATGTTGAGTAATTGGATTATCTTTTGGTTGCCTTTAGTTTATTTATGTTTCACTTAGGTCTTCGGTGTTAGTCTGTCATGTTTCTTGTCTTCTTGTCCTTGTTGTGAAGTTGTATTGTAATGTCTGCTTTCCGTTCAGTTTCCTGTTTTATTTTGAAGGTCTATGTCCTATGTCAGTGTAGTCAGTTTTGCTTCTTTTGTCTCGTTATGTCAGATTAGTGTCAGCTGTTTCCTCCTGTGTTTCCACTTCCCCTATCACCCTTGTGTGTATTTAGTCTGTGTGTTTCTGTTGATTCGTTGTCAGGTCGGCTGCTGTGTTTCATGTCCCAGGTAACTTTGTATTTTTAATTTCCCCAGTTTAGGTTGTTAGTTTAGGGTCATCTTTGTTTGCCTTAGTATTTTTCTACCAGCCTTAATAAACAGCTCACCTTTTGTTAATATTCAAGTTTTGGTCCAAGTTCCTTGGTGTCTACATTTTGGGTCCTCTTCGCAAATTCATACAGTGTGGTGCCGCATACTGTGACAGGTTCTATAGAAGTCTTTCCCTCCTTTGAGTTGTGATCTTGGTAAACACTTTATTGATTAGTTTAAGATCTCAGTCACAGCTTTTAAGTGTTATTGAATACACTAGGATCCATCCATCACAAGGAGAGGTGACTTGGATTAGTTTGCTTTTGGCTGACACTACCACGTGATAAGCTGTGATGAGGCATGCAGTGTCAAACCTGGTTTTATAACACCAACAGAAAGTGCTCAGCTCAAGGCTTTACAATGCGACCTCACCAACCAAAGCTGAAGTCACTATCTAATATTTTATTTCCAGTCAGTGATCTAGTTACTCAGAAGGCCACTGAAAGCCACTAAATTAATTTTCATCTTCATTAAATTGATTTGCCAAACAATTTCTTTCTGCATTATCCTGATGAAAGTAGCTGTTAAAAGATGCCAAAGGGGATTCAGGTGATCTGTCACAATAATCAGTCAGAATGTGGTATTTAATTCAGAAATGAGAGGTGTACTATGAAACAGGTGTACATAGTCTTTGTTAGCTGGCCTAATAAAACCAAGAACCCTAGTCAGAGATACTGGCTATCACAACAGTTGTTCACAGTTTTTTGGGTTAACCCATAGTGTTAATTTCTATTGTAACAGCTGTATATTAAAGCTAAGTCCTTGGAGTTAGTCCTACGAAATGCACGACGTTTGGTGAATTGAAGATTCTAGATTGGCTGTAGGTGTGTAGGATAAGTCTCTTACCTGTTAATCTAATAGAAGGGCATCACTCGGATACAGGCAAGTTGACATTCAGATTGCAAGCACGGCATCTGCAGCCAGATTAAATGTAGCTTTATCAAACATGGCTATGGTTTTAAGTCTTCAGGAGTGCAGTTTCAGTGAAACTGTTCATAGTTAATGACAGTAGAAACAAACATTCTGAGAGCCTATTTGATGTAGTTGTTAACCGAAGCTCCTGGCATGTCCTAAATTTGATATTTCAGTATGTGGATTTTGTTTTATTGCCTTAAAGATATGTAGGGACTTGTCATTAGTTATGATATAACCACATACGTACCACATTTTTAATTCTGCACCAACGCAAGAAGTCAAGATAAAGTGTATATAATATGAAATATTTTTTCCACTTGCTTTGATGGTTCTTTCACATTTTGTTTTTCTCTTTCTGCAGACATTGAGATGTGTGGTTTTGGTTGGAAGAAGTTTCAATCTTACTGCTACAGGCACTTTACTCACCGTCGGACCTGGGACGCTGCAGAGAGGGAATGTCGGATACACGGAGCCCACCTGACCAGCATCCTGTCGCATGAGGAGCAAATTTTTGTCAATAGTAAGTTTGTGTTGTTTCGATGAGGTGTCTTAAATGTTAATGTAATGCTCAGTCGACAGTATAAGGAATTATGGGTCTAGAGAGTCTGTGAATTAGTCCTTCGGGGTACAAATACTACAAATCCATATCATGAAAATGAAACAGTTTTTGGCCATGCTAGCAGCACAACTTTGTTGTTTGTGGTCAACCACTTGTCCAGACTACTTTTGGTTGGATAGTCTAAAACTAAATCTGATCATATTTTTGAAAATACAGTAGAAATGGCTACCTAAAACATTAGTTACATTTTGAGTAGCTGCTTTGTTATTTGATTGCATTGATTTCAACATGTCTTTGGGTTTCATTCACAACGAATGTACGTAAAAAAACAAACAAGCAAACAAAGAAACTTTGATGATAAATAATAATTTGATTGTTAGTTTTACCAAATTTGAAAACGCAGGCAAATGCTACACGATTTGCAGTCACTGCTCTACTACAGAAATCAGTCTGAGAATAGTGATGGAGCTGCAAGTAAACTCTGGTGAAGCTACTGACACTGAGCTCAACTGTGCTTCTCCATAATTCTTTGTCTGTTTACACTCCTCTCCAAAATGCTTTGTTTGGTATTGATCAGGTTCTGCTTCAGTAAAATGATCTCGGACTCAGTGCATCGTGCTTTTTCCCTGCAGATCTAGGAAGTGACTACCAGTGGATTGGCCTGAATGACAAGATGTTTGAGAGAGACTTCAGATGGACTGATGGCAGACCAATGGTAAGATAAGCACTATTGATAAGATAAGTGGCTATGGATATAGTTACATTTACAGACATCAATGTTTATTGTTCCCCAGTGTAACCATTTGCAATTTGATTTAAAATCAGTCTTCAATGATACATGATGGCTCTCATATAGCAGTAGCAGAGATGTTTTATTAAGGTACTGTTAATAGCTAGAGTATAATAGTTTCATATTTAACTGAAAGAAAGAAAAACACAAGGCGGCTTTCCAAGTCTTTAATAAATGTAGAGCAAACATGTTACAAGAAATGTCTCGGCTCTTAGGGAGCTGTCTACTATCTACATTAAGATGAACCATTTTACATTAACGAATCCAAAATAGATCAGAACCAGATGAAGTGCCTGTTTTTTAATGCTGTGCCACCTGAGGGCCCAGATTGATTTTTTTTTTATTATGAACTGTAGCTGATGAAATATTGAGGCCTATTTTTTCTTCATTGTAGAAAATTATTCAGAAAATGTCCCACAATTAGTAGACAGTTTTTTTTTTTGCAGATTGGGGAACCTCTGCCCATCTTTACTTCTGCATCTCTAAGGTGCTGATTTTATCCTTAGTCAAGTTTACGACCTGTTGCTATATTTAACTTGCTGCTGTACCACTCTGAGCATGCCTGATCTCATTTGATCTCAGACTCTACGCAGGCCTAGTTAGTACAGTACAATCTGGGAATACCAGGTGCAGTAAGATTTCAATCTTAAATATCATCAGCCTCTCTCTTTTAATGGGTTATGTGCCACAGGCGTTCAAGCTGGCAGTAATTAAACCACTACTTAAAAAGCTACTTAAAAAGCTGGGTCAAGATCACCTGAGTTAATCTGCAGGAATATCTTAAAGATATAATGATGTGGATGATTAATTTCCTTCTTCTAAATTCAGATAAAACTGAGGTTATTTTACTCGGCCATAAATATCTTAGAAATATGATATCTTACGCTTACACTAGATGGCATTACCTTGGCCTCCACTGTGAGAATTCATGGAGTCATTTTTGACCAGGATATGTACTTCAATGCGCATATTAAGCAACTTTGTAGGACTGCTTTCTTCCATTTGCGCAGTATCTCTAAAATGTAAATGTGTTTCAAAGTGATGCTGAAAATCTAGTTCATGCATTTATTACTTCTATGCTGGACTACTGTAATTCATTATTATCAGGATGCCCTAAAAACTCCCTGAAAAGCCTTCAGCGCTGCACCAAGACTACTGACAGGGACTAGAAAGTGAGAGCATATTTCTCCTATATTGGCTTCCCTTCATTGACTCCCTTGTAGATCCAGAATCAAATTTAAAATCCTGCTCCTCATATACAAGGTCTTGTATAATCAGGCTCCATCTTATCTTAAAGACCTTTATAGTACCATATCACCCCATTAGAGCACTTTGCTCTCAGGCTGCTGTCTTGTGGATATTTAAAGTAGAATAGGAGACAGTGTTGAGCTTTCAGGCCCCTCTTCTGTGGAACCAGCTCTTAGTTTGGATTCAGGAGACAGACACTTTTAACATTAGGCTTAAAACTTTCCTTTTTGACAAAGCATATAGTTAACTTTGGCTCAGTTGACCCTGAACCTGCCAAAGTTATCCCACAGCTAAGAGAAGATTCAGGCTACTATGGGGCTTCTCATCATGCACTGAGTGTTTCTTCTTCACTGATCTTTTATCACTCACTATGTGTTTATAAACCATTTTGCATTAGTTATTATTACTCTCTGGCCACCCTTCCCTGAAGCTGGTTCTGGTGGAGGATTTTTCCTATTAAAAGAGTTTTTCCTTCCCACTGTTGCTAAAGCACTTGCTCATAGAGGGGCATGTGATTGTTGGGGTTTTCTCTATATTATTGTAGTCTTTACCTTTTAATATAAAGCACCTTTGGTGATATATAAATAAAAGTGAATTGAATTTAAATTGCCAATAAACCTTATTCGGGGCAAAATGTTCATGTGATGTAGCAGTTGTAGGCAGTGATGACGCAATCTCAAACACATGGTTCATCTGCTGGAATCTCAGAGCAAGAAAATTGAAATCTGATCCTGAAGAGGGAGGACTGTGTCATGTGTTATCATTCTTAATACAGACACACCCTGAATGGGGTCAAATCGGAGCCATACACCATGTTAAGTGCGTGCAGTGATAAGTAGATATACAGTATAAAATGAACAAAAATGAACTTTTTGTGTATTTCGTCTGGTATATAAGGCCACACAACCTTGGGTTTGTTTAGGCCTGTTGTTTTTTTGTCTCTGCAGCACCACTGTCTGTATATTTTATGAATTACATCCAGTCATTTGTAATGAGTATTGACTGCCTTCTGAAGAGGATAGGTGGGGACTTCATAGTCTATATTCACAAAAGAGATATTGTCCATAAGTAGATACAGCTATCAGTAGGTACGATCGTAAAGAGGACATTAATGAGAAAAATACTGGCAACATCCAGTGCTGCCCCTTAACCACCCAGCAGTTTCAAAATCCTACATTATCTAATTTCTGAGTTATCGCATTGACAAGTTTTTCAGAAAACCTGACTTCGAATTTGAGTTTGAGGCCTCTAAGATTCTAACTTGTAGATTTTTAGCAGATACAACTCAACTCAAGTTCTCTTATTCACAAACCTTGGTTTCCACACAGTGTCAGGCTGACAGGTTAAAAATCCCCCCAAATTATCTTGTTTTTTGATGTGTGATTTGACTCTATATAAATAAACCTGAATTGAATTTGGGTTTTTTTCTGTGCGTTTTCCGAGAACAGGAAAGGTGCTTAAATCACAACTAAGATCACAAGTGCCTAAAACATTTGGCCAGTAATGTATGTTTTTGCTAAATATGCAGTTCAAGATTACTTTATTTCTATCCCTAGGTAAATTTGCTTTACATAAAAAATTATAGCATTTGGCATCCCCTCACAAAACACACACACACCCATTAAACCTGACAAACACATATTTGATAATTAGATGCGTGATTAAAAAATAATATAAATAAGATGAAGATCAATCAAATAAAACAGTAGCACCAGCAGGGACAAAGCAGTTTTTATAACGCTAACTCTGGACTAGAAACCTCCGTCCAGAAGAAAGAAGCTGAAATTCACCCCATAGAGGATGGGGGGCCATTATTAACAATTGATAAAGCCATCCTTTGTATCTGTTTAAAGTACAGGGAGGCTAGACAGGGCTGTGACTCACCTGTCAGGACCATCTCACTATCTGATTCAATGAGTTTTTTCTCTGTGACAGAGGTCTGACTGAACCATGCCACCAAACAAAAAAAGTGCCTGCAGCTTATGCCCTACTTCTGTGATAATGTTGAGGTGGAGGGGGAGAGGTGAGCCCTCGGGTGAACATAGACTATAGGACTGAAAAGTTGTGGAAACTCATGAGGGGGGCAAAAAGGGCACAGTGGCAACCGATAAAAGTTCAACGTCTGGTGTGCAAATAAACTCTCTAACAGTCACAGCGCTATAGTAACGTTTATTCACATACAAGCATACTCCCCCTCCTTGGGATTTCCCCGTTACCCCGACATCCCGATCCCGATGAAATGGAGCTCTAAATCCGTCAATTGAAAAATCGACGTCCTGGTCCTGCTCTGTCAGTCATGTCTCGGAAAAAGTCATCACACAGCTGTTCCTGTGTGAAGTCTTTCTGGAACGTTCCGCTGGAGTTTATGCAGTTTGCTGCTCACAGACTGAACATTTCCCAGGATAACAGGGGGCAGGGGAGTTTGACTGACCTGTTGTCTCCTCAGACACAATTTGACACCTCCGTGTCCCCATCTTTTTGTCTTCCTCTTATCACTTGTTCTGTCTTTTGGTATAAAACCCAGCATACATGGGGTGAGGTCCTTACCACCATACAAGAAGTTAAGTTGTAGCAGCTCCTCACGGGAGTAAACAATCCTCAGCGGGCTTACAGCCTCACACGCATCATGGGAAACAGATCAACACAGCTGGGGTTTTATTTAGAAAAGGAAAAAAAACAAACACAAAAAACCAGAAAAACAAACTTAGGATGCTAAGCTCTAGTTCACTGCTGGTCGCTAAGTGCACATGCCATCTTAAATGTAACAGCACTACTTTGTGAACACTAATTTAATTAGACAGTCTGTAACATAATGCCCTTTGTAATTTGTCTTCTGATAGCAATATGACCATTGGAGGCCAAACCAGCCGGACAGCTTCTTCCAGTCAGGAGAGGACTGTGTGGTGATGATCTGGCATGAGGGAGGACAGTGGAATGACGTGCCCTGCAACTATCACCTGACATTTACCTGCAAAAAGGGAACAGGTATGCACATGGAAAAACATATGTGTCCTCTTTGGAGACTAAAGGACAGCTGGGAAAAATGCTTTCTTTAAGTAAAAAAGTAACTTTGAAGCTTAGCTTCAAAGTTATTGGCTAGGGATAGTAAACGCAGAATAAGCTGCATTCATAAACTGTGCAGGTGTAATACACAGACACATATTAGCTCATTTGTGCAGACTAAGTCTGCAGACCAAGTAACAGTCTTTTCAATTTAATTCAGTTTTATTGCCAGCAGTTGCCAAAGCTGTGTTCTGTACCAGACTCTTCAACATGGATTAGGTTTGGGGGCCAGCCTCAAGTGGCCACGAGAGGAACTGTACTTTTGCGTTAGCTTTGTTTTGTTCAGTGCAGTACTTACATGGGGTGTGGATGAAAAAGTAAGTGTTGTCTGTTGCTTCTAATTTTGTCTCGGTGATCAATCTAAACTTAAACAACAAAATCACAGTACAGTCTTTATCTTTTACTTATCTTTAATTTATCTTTCACTTACAGTGCTGTGCATTGTATTAAAAAATGCACATTTTTTGCATATTTGACACGTTTCAGATCATTAATCAAATTTTGACAAAGAGTAAAAACAAAATACAAAGATGGTGGTGTGTGGTCTAACGGGTGCTAGTTGCCATTTAACACATCTATAGTCACATGGAGGTTGAGAACATATTACAGTGTCAGGGTATAGTTATTAGAGAGTTCCACTGGAGTCATGTTGTACAGCATGCCAGATATAGCCAGACTGCCAGAATCTTCCTGGTGTGTTCTCAACCCTGGAAAGTAGCACAGGTGGCATAGGGAGCACAGCTGGGATGCCAAGCAAGCAAGCTAACCATTTGAATCCCCATTACTCAACATATGGAAGAGCCATCTTGCATATGAAGACCAACAAACTAGAGCTGGAAATTACCTCCTCTATTTGGGACTGCTGCGTGTTAATAATCATGGAGACCTGGCTACATCATTAGAGACCATGTTTATTCACACCAGAAGCTAAGGATGACATGAATTCCAGTCACCATGTTTGACTGGTAGTCTGATGTTCTGTTTATGAAATGCTGTGTTAGTTTGATGCCAGATGTAATTGGACTCAAATGTCCAAAAAGTCCAACTTTTGCCTTGTCAGTCAAAGTCTAAAGTATAAAAGTCTTGGAGATCATCAAGATGTTTTTGGCCAATCTGAGATGAGCCTTTGTTGTGTTTTGGGCAGCTGTAGTTTTCTCCTTGGGACTCACAGAACTGCAGCAAATATGTAGAGCTTTGCTTATGTTTAGAGTTTCCTGCACTGTCCCAAGTGTCAATGGAAATGATTGGTACAGGTTTATTAAACTCTGCATCTCCTGCCAACAGTATCATGCAGTCAGCCTCCTGTGGTGAAGGATGCCCGAGTTTTTGGGGCCACAAAATTGCGCTATGAGATCAACACCCTGCTCCGTTATCAGTGTAAGCAGGGCTTCATTCAGAGTCACACCCCAACTATACGCTGCCAGGCCAACGGCCAGTGGGACTCACCTAAAGTCACCTGCACAAGCCGTGAGTCTCCTCCTAATTGTACTTTAGCTAACTTTTTCATTAAAGGTCTGTAAAGTATTTTCAACTGTACTCACTTTTAGTTAATTTCTACATCTGTGCTCTCAGCTGCAACCTACCACAAGACATTTGTTCTTCAACGCCGCCACATCCAGAACAAGCATCAACACAGGCACTATCAACACCACACCAAGAGTCAGGAGGAACACAGACAAAACCAAGGGCAACAGCAGATTTCCAACATCCTGCAGAGCAACTGGATCGCCATTCAGAGTCATCGACAGCTGAGAAAGGAGAGGCAGCTGCAGGGCCGCACTCGCAGCCAGGATCAGATGAAACACTCAGTGGGTTTGTAGTTGTGGACATCAGATTTTTGGTGATGACTAATTGCAGCAGGCTATCTACAGTCTGTCTAGAGGCATTGATAGAGAGTGATGTTCCACTGAACTGTCTATCAGTGTCTCTTGAGGGGACATTTTTACAATTACATTCCAGGATCAGACACCAAGGACAGTTTAGCTCAGGGGTGGGCAATCTCTGGCCACGAGGGCCGGTGTCCCTGCAGGTTTTAGATGTGTTCTCGAACCAACACAGCTGATTTAAATGGTTAAATTAGCTCCTCAACATGTCCTGAAGTTCTCCAGAGGCCTGGTAACGAACTAATCATGTGATTCAGGTGTGTTGACCCAAGGTGAGATCTAGAACCTGCAGGGACACCGGTCCTCGTGGACTGAGATTGCCCACTCCTGGTTTAGCTTCATTTCCAAACTTCATGTATTGACCACATCAGTCTCCCCACAAAATCATGGTGCTCAGATTATTGATATGCTTCCTTTTCACTGCTTCAAACAGCAGCTAGTGCCATTGTTCAAATACTTGGATATGTTGTGTCTGATATAGATATACACAGCCATGTCTCCTAAGGAGGTCACCCTAAAACCACGTCTATCAGTCACAACACAGGAGCACTGCAGCCTTTAACTCCTCACTGTGTTGTACACTTAATAGTGTTCAGTGTAACTTAAGCCATCAGCTTTTAACCTGTGCTCATAAGTCTAGTGCCTTCTGTCAGATTTTAATGCAGCCCAGTGGCAAATTTTTCATTAAAAGGAATTCAAGTCTTTATTCTTTGTTAAACAGTGTAGTCACGTCCAAGCTGGTTAAAGACACTCACACTTTGTTAATTTTGAAAAGGGATGGAAATGGAAAAATTAAAACAAAAAATGACAACTTTGAACTTGTCACTGAATTAAAAAGATGAGCAAGAATTCCTCACCTCAAATCACCTCAGATTGTTACCTTTGACCACATTTTCAATGTGTCTGCCTATCTGAACTCATTGTTTTTCATTGTTTGTCTATGTTTGTCTATGATTTTGTGCAAAATATTTTACCTGAGTTTTTTTCTTAATTGAGATTTGATGAACACAAATAGGAAATTGTGATGAATATGTCGTCTGTCTGTGCTGTGGCTATTAATCATAGGATATATATTATAAATATTATCTGAAGCCATAAGAATTTAATTTATTGTATACTTCCAAACTATGAAAGGACTGTGATATTGAATAAAGGTCAATGGAACTGAAGTGATATCTTCTGCACTGTTTACAGACTCTTGTCACCTTTCTTATTGAGAAATCATGTTATCATTGACAGTATGTATACACAATGCCGTCCTGTAGTTTTATTGAGATTGTTGATTTTCTTTATTGTGCTGTGACTCAAAATCGACTTCCTCCATTGTCAATGAAAACACTTCTGGTTATTTCTACATTATTTTTACATTATTAGACACATACCTTCATGTTGCCTTTTCCTGTAGATCTGGAATCAGTTTTATTGTTTTCAAGGAATAAGAGAATGTATAAGAAACAAATAAACATGACCACCTGCTCTATAAGATTTTTTTTTATGCATCTCACATTGTCTTCATGTCCTTCATACATTTCCCTCTAGTATGTAGCATGATAGTATGTAACAATATGAGAACAGCACTACCAAGGCTGGAGGCGGAGCAATATTGGAAAAGCACATGGGAGAAGAACGCAGCCCATAACTGTAATGCTCAATGGCTCGTGAATCTAAGAGCAGACCACAGCAAACTCCCTGAACAAGGTCCAGTAACCATCACAGTGGCAAACATTCAAGAAAGGGTCTCCAGTACTAAGAGCTAGACAGCACCAGCCCCCGACATGAGTCGCGCCTACTGGCTGAAGAAGCTGACGGCACTCCATGAGCATTGGGCAGCACAAATGAACCAGCTGCTAGATGATGAGAGACACCCAGAATGGCTTACTGAAGGCCAGACAGTCCTGATCTCCAAGGACCCCCAGAAGAGAACTTTCCCCATCCAACCACTGGCCAATAACCTGCCTCAGTACCACATGGAAGCTCCTGTCAGGCATCATAGCAGCTAAGAAGAACAATACATGAGTGGGGGGACAAAAAGGAATTGTCAGGAATACCGGAGGAGTGAAAGACCAGCTACTGGTAGACAGGGCAGTGTGGACTAGGCTGACCAACTTGAGCACTCCCTGGAATGATTACAAGAAAGCCTATGACTCGATGCCCCACACCTGGATCCTGGAATGCCTAGAACAGTACAAGATCAACAGGACCCTAAGAGCCTTCATCAGGAACTCAGTGGGGATGTGGCCTGAACCCCCTCAGTGAGATCACTGACAGGGCTGGCTACGTATACTAACTACAGAATGGAGCAATATGTATATATACATACACACATATATAACACATAACACTGCTGTTATGCAGACAGAGGGGGTTGTAAGTGATCCAGAAAAGTTGGAACACCTGTAGGAATTAGTAGCACGAGCTTTGAGGGCTTGATCAACCTCCATTGCTGCAGAACAGCTTTAAATTGTTAACGCATTTTGTGTTCCCTGAAACAGGCCTTTTTGTATAATTCTGAAAACTTTTGACCGGTACTGCTGTCTTTGTTGATTATGGATGTCTATATATAATCTGTGCTCTCTTTGTAATGTTAAACAGACAGCTTTCCTGAAAATAGCACAAAAAAAAGAATCAGCATGAAAACCAACATGCCGTCACTCAGCTTTTAAAACAGTCATTTACTTTGGCATCATGCTGTATTTCAGTTACAGAATTAACTGATGCAGCACCATGAATGGCCTCAGTGTTCCCACTGGAAAAACATTTTCATGTAAGCAGGACCCCTCCCTCTGCAAACATTTACACATTACAGCATTACCCAAGAACTACAGCTCTGCAAATACACATCCTAACAAATAAAGGGCAGACGTTAACTTTGATGATTTTTCTTTTCCGCTGCAACTACAGTGGAATCGCTCATCGTTGCTATGATGTATTTATGTTAATTCAGTTATGGTTGTATAAATTGATAGAGGCTGAGTCATGGTTTATATATTCTTTTATTATCCCTTTGTCTGCAAGTCCCTAAGATTTTTTTCTATGCTGTGGTTCTCGAAGAACAATATCAGAAAGACAATAGAATACAAAATAGAAGCTTTTAAATGAACAGTTGAAATGGTGAAAACTTCATTTAGCATAAAAGAAAGGCTAGTAAAGAGACGTGAAAACATTTGCTGAAATGTGATATTCCTGACAACTACTTGAACTTTAGCTACACACGGAATGTAGACTAGCAACTGGTAGAAACAGGTAATCTGGTTAGGAAAAATGTAACATACTAAGTAAGGCAAGTAACAAATGTAAACAGGTAGCTGAGCTGCACTAAACTTGAAACACTGGACAACTAATTAGCAAAATTTCCCCACTATTTTCTTCATTTAACGAGTAGCAGGTTGAGACAACTTGACTGTAGGAAATATGGATGATGTAACATCAATTGTAAAATTGCTTTTAATCCGCACTGATGCACTGAAGAACTGTCTTGCATATCTTATTATATATCTTATATATTAGTTTCATTCTATTTATTTTCCAGGATTTTCCAGGTATTTTTCTATGCTAGCTAATGAGCTTGTGGGTGTCCTAAATTTAAACACTGGTGTGAGCTTGGTGTCAACATGTAGCTCAGAATCTTACCAATTAACACATAATATTGTTTACTTTCAAGAAATATCTTGATTTTATAGCCCATTATGAGACCTAGCTATTACACAGATGTGTGTTAGCATACCAGTTTGCACTTTCACAAATGTCAAACTATTCATTTAATTGACTGTAACTTCTGCAATAATTCTAATCAATACACTAATACAAAAGGAGTGAATTAAATAAAACAGATCTTTAGTAAGGGTTTACTTCATAGCTGTTATAGCATTTTATCTTCCACATCATCAGTGTGTGATCATTACAGGCTATTTTTGTCCAGCAGTTCACTGATGATAAGTATAGCAAAACTCTGATTGTGCAGTGACTTGAGTAGCCAAGTATAGCCAACTCTGCACCATTCCAATTAGATTACCTAAACTTCAGTCTTTTCCATCCTGGGCTGTGTACAGTGAGCTTACACATTACATTTACTGTTATACCCTTAAATGGAAGAAACCTTTAGAGGCTCCTGCAGGAAGAACTGGTTGGCTGCTTCATGGCTGTGCCTTGCAGAACTTAGATAGCAATTAGGGGGCCAGTTCAGGACCTTAGATTTCATCTCTATATACATTAGTGTGTAAGTCAGTCACAGTGTGTTATCTCTGTTAACCTCAGCACCTTATTCTTTTACCTGGTATCCATTAGTAGGTTTTCTGAATACTCTGACCTAGCCTAGCATTAGTCCCAATTTATTCAAGAAAAGTTGCATATTATTTTTAGTCACAATTTAGTTTCTTGTCAACAAAAACTAAGACTTTATTACGTTTTTTTCCCTAATCCCCCCCCCCTCCCCCCCACACACAAAGCATCAATACTATATGACTTGTTAAAGAGAGGGTAGATTTTTGGGTCCAAAAAGTTTGCAAGTCTTGTTTAGGCTGACACTCCACAGTGTGAGTAGTAGTCATTGGCCATGTGTGTCTGTTAGCATACTAACAGTCACTATTTTGGTTTTTTCTTTGCATTTGGCACAAAGAACTTCAGTGGTACAAACAACTAAATCTTTGCTTTTGTGACATGACTAATATTTATTTCTTTTTATTGTTTTGCTTTTTTGTTGACTAAAATAGATCAAACATAAACCTGAGCATAACCTGGATTTAAATCTAAATTTTCCAATGCTAGCTACAATTCTAGTTAACAGCAGCCTAGCACCATCATAGGAGAGGAATGCAGTAGAAAAATTTGATTTAAAGGTCAAGCAACACTGTATGCAGAAAGCAGATTTTTATGATATTACAAACACATGCTGAAGGTCAAACCCACAACTGAATAACAGGATTTTTTTGATTGTCCTCTTAGGTTGCACTGGGATTGCTGGGCTAATGAGCAATATCAGTCACAAGCAGGGCAAAGCCTGGCTCTGGTAATAAGCTAGAAGAATCTATGGCATTTGTATCAAAAATAGCAGTCTATAAGGCGCTAAATAGATAGCAAGAGTAGCTATACTCTAATAGCGATTTTGCTGTTGAAGTCAAGGCATGCTCTGAAGAACAAAACGTACTCTAGCACTGCAAAGTATTTTTTCATGCCAGGCATTCTGTATTGCTGCAAAGAGCAAACTGCTGTCTCTCCTCTATGCATCATATTCTGTAAATTCAGTGCAAAATCATTTTTTGTGGTGTTTTTTTCCACCGTTATTGTATGTTTCATGTAAACCCAATAGACTTGGATAGTTTGACCAGAAAGATAAAAATTATATTCTAAATATTTCTACAGTATATCAAAAAATAGTCATTAACAGAAATACATTTCTAGATTATCACATTCTAAATACTTAGAAAACATAAACAATGCTAACAGTTAAATGATTTCTTTTTCATTTTGGTGATGAGACTAGTGTTTGGTTCATCACGTTTGTATAAAAAAATAAAACACTGGGTGGTAGGATGATTTACAAAGTACCTGTCTTAGCACCTTGTTAACATTGAACAGCAGAGATTGGATTAGTTACGCTTCAGACTTTCAGACTTTCAGACTTTGACGAGCCTAGTCCATTTGTAAATGACAGTATGTCTGTAGCTGTAGGTTATCTAATCCCCACAACCTGTGCCCACCTCTCTGAAGGGCATTGATTAAATAATAAAAACCTTAAATATGTGTAAACTATCCCTTGTAGAATATAAGGTCCCAGTTTACAAAGCACAACATGAATCGGTCTGGATAAAACATCTTAAGGTTTTTATTTAAAAAAAAAAAACTATCACAGTTTGAATGTGCTTTTTTCTCTGTTTTTTCTCTCTCAATTATTATGCTCATTATTGTATGTGTTGATGCATGTTAGTGTATGTAATTGTTTGCTGGATGTGTGTTGTGGCTCAGTTGTGGCCCTTGAAACAATACACTCCATACAGCTTATGCTTCTTGTCAGGGAAGCCACTGAACCTAACAGCAGCTTCAGTGGGACTGCAGCGCCGGCGCGGGTGGGAGATGGGGTAACGGACACTGCCATCTTCCAACCAGCCTGCATCACAGCGGTCATAGCCCAGCAGCTTCCAGGCAGCATACATCTGGCCAACCTTGGCAATTTGAGCACCATCTTTTTGGCATGCCCTGACTGCCTCATCATAGGTCAGCTTGAAGGGTTGTATCAGGTAGTAGAAGCGACCTGAGGTGACAAGAAAACAGAAGGACGACCATAATGGGTTAGAACATACAGAAGAAAATATATCAATGTATCAAATTCCTGCAACCTAACCAGAGTGACATGATCCTGTCACCACAACAAGACAGGATATACATGCTTTGATGCCTTTACAAATCTGACGAAGTTAAAACATCCATCATTTCATATTATACGCCATCGTTTGTTTTGTGGTGTTGCAAAATACATTGTTTACGGCAATATTGAGATGATGAAGATCAGATGAGAAGCAAAGAAGAGCCGTCAGGTGCTCAAAAATAAACCTTAGACTCAAACGTTAGAACAGCCTTTTTCACACGGCACGCCATGTAATAAATAGAAAGTAAATGGCAGCTAAAGATATATAGTTTCATGCATCGGTCACAGGTACACTCCAGGTACACAACGCCCAGCTGAAAACACTTTACACAAGTCGAGTTGCCCGAGATTCACAGAATTTACAGAAAATGCAATATATATCATTATCGGGATGAGAAATGTCTTACATCGGGATAAGAGATTTTGGTCATATTGCACAGCCCTCAAAATCTGTTGAGACCATATGTAACATTCAAACATTCCGGAATATAATAAAATAACTGTAATTTGACATTTTCATCAAAAAATAATGATGTGATTTACTATATTTTTTTCAGTTATTTTGTAAAACTGTACATTAAAAGAATTTGGACTAGAATATTTGTATTTTATGATTAAAAATATCATCATAAAGAGCTTGCAAATATTGGTGGAAGCATAATTTTTTTTTTTGATAATTACCAGTACTTAGTACGCAGCTGTGACATGAAACTTACACTGAGTGGTGGTCTAAAAAATCGGATATCACATCTTAACCCCCCAAGGTCTAAGTTACCCTCTGTTCCACACTATTCAGTATTGTGCCCTGGGACACCTGAACAAAGAGGGAGGAGTCCAGTGGTGGAAACCATGGTCTGTCTCCTGAGCCACATCTATTCTAGGTGCTACTAGTAGGAAGTAAGATGCAAGCTCACATGGCTCTTCATACTAACTCATATTAAAGCTGGATTGAATAGTGTGTAAAAAACAAAAACAAAAAAAACCCCAACAACAACAATTTGATAAATATGAGGTCACTAGCTACATTTTAAAGACATGTTAATACCAAGTGTTAATTAACTTCTTTAGTCTAACCTGCTATCCATCAGGGCACTAGCATCCCATTTGTGGTTAGGGCTGGATTTTGTTTTAGCCACATAAAAAAGAAGCACACTTTCAGAAACTCTTACATGTTGGCATTATAGTATTAACATTCGTTTCTTTTTCAATTTTAGGTGGCCAAACAGGTAAAAATGTTTTCAGTCAACTCATAACCCAGTAACCACAGAGAGGGTTACAAACCAGAGCATGTTGCCCTCAATATTGCAGATGTGTTTGTCGCCAATACCTACAAAAACACAGTTTTAGTGCTGTTCCTCACCTTTGTAGTGGGAGGTAAAGCAGAAAACATCATAGTGGTTCTTGTCCTTGTCTCTCAACCCATAGTTCCGAATGCCTGGCACTGTGTTCTTGCCACCACAGGGTTCTCTGGGGGTGTTGATGGGATACTGGACTGTGCCATCAGACAGCCAGCCAGCATTGCACCAGTCCATCCCTCCACGCCATGTGTCATACAGCTGGTCAAAAGATGCCACGATAGCATCCTGATCGTGGCACGCCCGCTCTGCATCGTAGAAATTAAGGTTGTAGCGTCCCAAGCGGGGGTAGTATGGGAAGACAACACCTGCACAGACAGGGTGAAAACAGAAAATGAGGGCAGAGAAGGAGATGCAATAGAATAGAATAGAATTTATTTTGAACATGTCAATATAACTAAAATAACAAGAAAACACATACACAAAACAAAGGCATCAAAGTTGTCATTAATATCTCTATATCCACTCAATTAATATGCTTGAAAAGGGGTAGAAAAGGTTTACACCTATTTGTTGCTACCCGTTTGTTTCAAATACCAAAATTTGCTAAAAATATAAAAATGAGACAAGGATTCAATAGAACACAATGATACAGCAATATTCATGTAACTTATTGTTTTTACATGAATCCTTACTACATAGGGTTTCCTCTAAGAGTATTTGGTCTTATTTGGAACAAGTTCTGAATGTTGTGGCTCAAAGATTTGTTTCCTACTTTATACATTATTTGTGTAGTTCAGGTCAACCAAGTCTTTAAATTTAAGAATATTTAATTTAATAAAAAGTGGATTTGATGGTTCTTTTTTGCAGAATATGTATTGGATGGGCGTGTGTTCTATAGGTGGCTTCCCACAATTCCACACAGTACAGAACAGAAGTATAATGGAACAATACAAAGTATATAATGATGTTTGATTTAGAAGTACCTTAACTTTATGACCTGCAGCCAGGATAAACTGGATGTGTTTGGTCAGCTGTGTGTGTGTTTGACTGGCTCCAGCATTTTTGTCTTCAGCTGACATTAACCCCCCCACCTTTTCCATATTTAAATTCTAGTAATTTTTGAAGTAGTTCCAAATATTATACCTTCAAGGTCCAGTGACACTACTGCTGTTCCATCTTCCAGTCCGTCAATGACTTCACATTTATACCTCCCATAATCCTCCAAAGTGATTTCTGTAATGACTAGAGAAGCATCCATGGCCGAAGAACCTTGTAGGTGGACACGTCCATGGAATCTGCCATAACTCCTTTTGTGATAATCCATGGCAACAAACACATCCACCTAGAGCACAATGAAAAGTGTTCATGTTATACTTTTCCACTGCTTTCAGTTTTTGGAATTTCTTAAGAATAGTCCAGCACATTTTGAACAGAATAAACAAGAAATTCAATTCAATTTTATTTAAACAGCGCCAAATCACAACAACAGTCACCTTAATGCACTTTATATTGTAAGCTAGACCCTTCAATAATACAACAGAGATTAGATAATAAGGCCACCATTAGACATGTGTAACAAAACTAGTTTATAATGCTTCTACATAAATTATATATTGATGCTTTGGAATGCTACACACAATGTTTTGAAAAAAAAAATACTAATGACAGTTCATTTCAAATAAATGATAACCTCTTTTAGATAGTCTGAGGTCAGCTTGGTCCATTTGATCCGCATCTTACGGTTTTGTGCCAGTGTTTGGTCCCTTAGAATCGTGCATGGTAAAGTAGCATTTCCCCCTCGTCTCGACACCACTTTGGTTTTTTCTGCTACCACTGACAGTTGGGGGCCATTTTCTGAAAAACAGCAACAAAACCTTACCTGAGACATTGACTGGATCCACATTCAATATATACATAGGACAAACCTAAGATAGTGATGTGATCAGTTGTGCGATGAGGAGAATAAGAATTGATGAAAAGGAAAGGGATTATTCAGGGACACCTGATTCAAACTGAGAGTTCATTGCACAGAAGAGGGGCCTGAAAGTTAAAGGCTCTGCCTCCCATTCTACTCTTAAATATCCTAGGAAGCACAAGTAAGCCCGCAGTCTGAGAGCAAAGTGCTTCAATGGGACGGTTTTTAAGAAATGAATGCAGACTGATAATTAGCGACTTTATATGTGAGAAGAAGGGTTCTAAATTCGATTCCATATTTACCAACGAGGCAGTGAAGAGAAGCTAATAGACAGACAAAGTATTTTAGAAGTATGATTTTCTTTCTAGTCCCAACCAGAACTCCTGTCAAATGTTTTGGATCAGCTGACAAGATGTTTCTAGTTTTAGCAATTGTGCAGGTGAAAGAAGACAGATCTGTGGGGTATGAACCCTCTAAAATGTTTGTCCTCCAGTTTTAAAGAGGGAAATTCTATTACATTTTAGTCTCTAACTAAGATCAGACTATAACAAATTTGAGAATGCTGCAGCTATACAGCTGAATATCCAAGCCTGCTAGGCTTAGCTGAAAACTTTGAGGTTCTGGCATTCTGCCATCTTCTCTATGTATGGTCACTTTAGACTACAAAAACAAAAATAAATAAATGAATAAACAAACAAACAAACCAAAAAAACCCAAAATGAAGCAAAAATGTTAAAAAATGCTAGTCCCGTTAAGACGAAACTGCTCCAACGTCTCAAAGCAAACAGCAAAGAATATTTGTGCCATAGATCCAAACAGTGCCAAAGACTCAGCTGCTGCTAAACTGCTTTAAACTTTAAACAATAACTAATAGAGATTAATTTATCATGTTTTATTTTACTAAAAATATTATACATTAGCTAGTGATATTGAAAAAAAAAAGGAAATTGGAAGTCATGCTGGTAAAGATTTATATCATCGTTCTCACTGAATCACACAGCCTAAATGAAAAGGGCTTTGGTTTTGTTCGTATCTCACAAACAAGGAAAACCAAACAATAGATAAATAAATACATTTCCAAAGTGACTTGCATAACAAAATAGCTGTTATGTGTTGTTGGTTTTTTTTTACTATGTAAAAACTAGAGATATACAATGTTTTAATTTGCTGATAAAAGCCAAACTGGATAGCTCTGTCTAAGTTAGCTTAAAGTCCCTACATAGCAGTCTTATCACTGAGAACATGCTGATAAACTGAGGGAAGAAAGGACACTGCAGAGTGAGTGTTGTAAACGAAACACAGAAACAGACGCTGGAATGACATTGTCACTCTCACAAAGAAACACAAGTGAACATGTACTCACCTGTGACATAAATGGTTCTCGAATGCTCCAGGTCAGGGTACAGAGCATCTAAGTCATTTTCTGCTACATTCAGTGATATCAAAGCCCAGATCAGCACAGGAATCATCTTCACTCACCAGCTAGGTTCTGACCACTGCAGAGACACAGACAGAGGGTGGGGTTATGCTACAGTGAGGATGCTAAGGAAAGTTTTCCATGTATAAGCTATACAGAAAGCCCGTTTATAAGCTTCTTCTGTATGCAACTGTATGACCCTGTGTTTTTATCTGCAGTGCTTTTTCTCCCGCGAGAGCTCCGTAATTACAGTTGGTTAACAGGACGCCTGCCTGCTGGGTACTGAGCACATCTAAAGATAAACACACACATCTCAAAATCCCATTTCTAAGTTGTTGAACGCAGTTAAACATACAGTCAGCACATTAAAAGAAAGCTTCTCAATGCACAAACCAGACATCCCTACAAGCTACAGCCCACAGAAGACGTTCACACAAATACACATTCTGTGTAAGCCATATAGTACATACTGTGCAGGAAGTATTCTGTCATTCAGCACTGTGAGAAAGCAGCATGTCCTGATGACAGCCCACACTTTTAGAAGGAGACTGCCACCGTGCAGCGTCACCCCTGCACCTCAAGCTTCATTCACACTCACACACTGGCGTAGCTGTAGTTGCATCCTTGTGAGGACATCAGCTGACACAACAGAAATTCTTGATTTAACAGCTAACTAGCCCTTTGAGGTTCCCCACATTCTGTTCATTGCCCTCAAATTAACTTAAAAAATTTCCTCACTATTCCAAGTGGCATTACATGTAAATGTATTTACATGTAATATATATATATATATATTGGTGGTTTCTGTGGTATTTGTTTAGGTGATGATGGGTGAAAAATTATTGTTATACCCTTATATATCTTATACAAAATATAACAGAAGAAAAAACCCCAACAATTTCATTTTAATATTGACAGGACAGGTTTTGTATAACCTGTAAAAAATATTTTACAGCTTGTGTGGCAATATATGTGCTGGAGGATGGTTAGGAGTGCTGGCCGACTTTGCCAGGTGGAGTTCCTGAAGTCAGCAGAAAAACTGCAGCGTATACACACACACACACACACACACACACACACACACACACACACACACACACACACACACACACACACAC